TTGGTTCTTTTTAATTGTCACAAGGCATCTAGAAGTCACACCACCTCTTCTTGCTCCTTTTATTTCATCAAAGACAACCAAAAAGGAAGAAAGCAGGTTGGGAAAGGCAGGAAGAAGGAGATGAAATAAGAAAAAGAGACTATTTTAAAACCCGGGGCGGGGGGGGAATGATGTCATGGGTTGCATGAAATTATAGGAACGTATTTGGATACTTTATGTAGGTTCTAGAAAATCAGAGACTTAAATATCATTTCCTGCCTTTGCCAAGCATCCATTTCTGGTGGAGACACAGATGTAAACAACTGGTGGAAAATTAGGCAGTTGGCTATTTGTGATGGCGGCAGACAGTGTTGGAGTGACTAGTCCCAGGAAGTGAAGGAGTCTGTGAGGTGTTTTGTGAGCTTGTGGATGAGGTGGAGATCTCGAGGCTAAACACAGGATAAGTAGGTTAAGTCACATCTACTGAAGACCACCAGGCCCCCTATATATTTCAGTTTCACATTCACCATTCACCAGGCTAGTTAGTGTCTTTTTCCAGGTCCTAGTCTTATTCAGTATTTTTGCATTATCTTGGGTGGGGAGTTAGGCAAATTCATTTCAGAGGCCACTGGTTGGCTTTGAGAGATCATTTTAGATGACAATATCAAAATTGGTTTTAAAAAATCTCTCAACACTCTGGAACCAGAGAGAAACTAAGTGGAGTTTTTGTATTTGAATAAAAAGAATCCTAATGGGCAAGGTATTTTTTTTTTTAATGGAGAAATAAAATTTAATGCCATCACCTTTTTTCAAGACTTACATGGTTTACTCAACAGTAAGTGCAGTACGTGAGAGTATCTCAATTGGTAGTAAAGTTACAGTTTAGGGCTGTATAATTGGAAATACAGTATTTATAGAGGGAGGATTTATGGTTCTCTTTATTTTCTATGCTGGAATATTATGATGTTTAGAGAGTGACAATGATATCAACCAATGGTATTTGAAACCTAGCTATATGCTAGTTGTTGCCATAGAAAAGAGGAATTTAAGATTCTATAATTTGTTCCAAGCCTTGTATACTTTCCCACACATATGTGGTTTTTCACACCTCTGTGCCTTTGTTCATGCTCTTCTCTCTGCCTGGGATACTTTTCCCCATCTTCAAATGGCTAGCCCACCTCAGCCTTCAACTCTCAGTTCAGTAACTAACTTTCTTTCTAGGACCCCCCATATCACATCTTGGCTTCTCCACTGCCTCTGTGTTTCCAGAGCTCCCACCTCCCATTTCTATTATAGTTCTTCATTTTTATAATGGAACAGGGTGGATTTGGATCCCTGCTGCATTGTTTGTACCCTAAGGCTGGTGCTCACTGGGTTCTCTGCATTTGTGGATATTATATTAGCTGGTAGAATTCAGTTTCAGGTTACTTCACTATGCTTTTCTCCTATTTGTTGATTATTTTATCCACTAGTCTTGTTTTTTTTGTTTGTTTGTTTTCTTCTCCATTCTACTCTTTGTTCTTATTATTTCTATCTATACACATTGCCATCATTTCAAAGGGGATTTCAGAGGGAGTAAGGAATTATTAACACATGGGTTCACATGCTGTATTTGGACTTTTATTTGATACAGTTTAGAATACATAAAACTTCAAAATGCCTAAGCTCTTCGATGTAGCTGTTCCATTTCTAGATAACTAACCTATAGAAATAATTCTGCATTGACAATAAAGAGATATGTATAAGGATATAAAGACATTGACTGTTGCATTGATCCTAATTGTGAAAAATTAGAAACAATTCATATGCTACAATAAGAAAAGGAGTAACTTCAATAAGCTTATACTACAGAACAGTATGTAGTAATAATAATAATAAAAAGCTATTGAGGGACATGAAGTCCAGTGAATAGAATAAAAGACAGAGATAAATCCATAAATTTATATCTCTGATATTTAACAAAGGTGCCAAAAATTTATCTTGGAAAAGAAAAAAAACAGCCTTTAAAAAAACAAATGGTCCTGGGAACACTGGATATACAGAAAAATGAAATTTTTCAGCCTGCACAAAACTCAAATCAAAATGGATCAAAGACCTAGAAATTGGACCAGAAAACTTACAATTGCTAAAAGAAAACATAGAGTCAACCCTCCATCATATAGGTACTGGCACAGACTTCCTTAACATGACACCCAAAGCACAAGAAGTAAACCAGGAATCAATAAGTGGGATGCCAGAAATAAAAAGCTTCTGCACAGCAAAGGGAATGATTGAGAGCATGAAGAAAGAGCCTACAGAATGAGAGAAAATCTTGGCCAGCTACCCCTCTGATAGGGGATTAATATCCAGAATATACAAAGGACTCAAAAAAATTAACATCAAAACCCAAATAACCCAATCAATAAACAAGCGAAAGAACTAAATAGCAACTTCTCAATGAAAGAAATACAACAGGCCAACAAATACATGAAAAAATGCTGAACATCTCTATCAATCAGGGAAATGAAAATCAAAACTACACTAGGATTTCATCTCCAATCAGAAGGGTAATTATCAAAAGTACAAACAGCAGTAAATGCAGGTGAGTTGTAGGCAGAAAGGAACACTTGTAGATTGTTGGTGGCACTGCAGACTAGTACAACCACTCTGGAAAGCAGTATGGAGATTCCTCAAAAAATTAAGGATGCTGGGCTGGGATTGGGACCCAGGTTCAATCCTCAGCACCACATAAAAATAAAGGCATTGTGTTGTGTCCATCTACACCTAAAAAAATAAACATTAAAAAAAAATTAAGGATGTAACCACCATATGACTCAGCTGTCCCACTCCTGGGTATTTTCCCAAAAGATCTAAAATCAACATACTACAATGACAGCCCCATCAATGTTTATAGCAGCACAATTGATAATAGCTAAATTATGGAATTAACCCAGGTGCCACCAATAGATGAATGGATTAAAAAACTGTCATTCATATATATGCACACACACACGCACACATACATGGAGAGAGAGAGAGAGACAGAGATACACAGAGAGAGAGAGATATACACACAAAAAATGTAGTTCTACTCAGCCATTAAAAAGAATGAAAATATGGCATTTGTCAGTAAATGGGTGGAAATGGAGAATATCATTTTAAGTGAAAATAGCCAAACTCAGAAGCTCAAAGGTCAAATATTTTCTCTTATATGCAGAAGCTATAGTAAAATAAAGGAAAGGGGGAGGAAAAATAGAATAGAATAGAATAGAAAAATTACATAAAGGAACAACCAAATTCCAATTAATAGATGAATGAAAGGAAGTTGAGTAGAGTAGAGGAAGGAGAAGAAGAGAGGAAAAGGAGGACAGGAGGGGAAATGGGGAGGAAAAAGGGAGGGTATCATGAACCAAATCGATTTCCATGCGTATATGGATTTGTTGGGATGAACCCACTGCTATATATAATAACCATAAAGCTCTAATTTAAAAACTCTTGTTTACCTAAACACACAGATCTGGAAATCATTCTAAGAAATATTATTATATTTAAAAAGCAAAAATGCATCTTCTGTGATCCTACTTGTATTATTTAGAACCACAAAAGGAAACCTATTTTGATTCATACTTACAAGTGAATGTGGAATATGGAAATTTAATTTGTTGATGTCCAGTGTGAGTCTACCAGCTTGACCATGGCTTGTCCTGTGACACGGGCCAGGCATGTTCCCATGTTCTCCCTTGTGCCTACAGAGGGACAGTTGCTTACCTAAGGGCTGTCTTCCTATTGAGCATATCTTACAGAGGTCACCACTGGGCCTGCTAAGCGTATTGCTCATCACAGAATAATTACATTCTTCTCTCACCAAGGAAGCTCTCAGATTCTTACTCTTTTTTGTTTTTCAATTTACTTGATGAGATCATTCCTAAATGCCTAAGCTGATTGTAAATGTGTGATTGACTGCATACGTTATCTACTGCTATGTACAAACTTAACTTACCTAAAACTTAGTGACTTAAAATGATACATACTTTATCTCTCAGTTTCTGTGGTTCAGGAACCTGAGTATGGCTTAGCTAGATTCTTTGGTTCAACGTCTCCTATAAAATTCCTGCAAGGCGAGGCTTGTGGTCACTGTAAGGCTTGACCTATGGATGGTTCCCTGCCAAGTTCACCCACCTAGCTGTTGGCACCATTCAGTACCTTGAAAAATATTGGCTGAAGGCCACCCTTAGTTCCTTGACACTTGGGCTTCTCTGCTCACAGCCTTATACAACCTAATCTTAGAACCAGCGTTTACCATATTCTATTTCTTATAAGTCAGTCACTGAGTCCAGCCCCTAGGGAACAGCTACTGGCTACCCAATGGCATGAGTACCAGGAAGTGGGGCATCTCAAAATCTGCCCATCACAGTGATGAAAAGGTAATTTAGAAGGTTTCACAAGTAAATTCATGAGCAAAATTTACTTTTGTACAGTTAAAAAGAGCTTTTAGAAAGAGACATCTCTTAAACACATGGCACCTAAGCACAGTTGTTGTATATAGTAGGTATTAAAATAGTTTTGCTTTTAACTTTTTTTTTTTTTTTTTTTGTACTGGGGACTGAGCTCAGGGTCATTTGACCACTGAGCCATATCCCCAGTCCTATATTGTATTTTATTTAGAGACAGGGTCTCACTGAGTTGCTTAGCAACTCGATTTTGCTGAGGCTGGCTTTGGACCCAAGATCCTCCTGTCTCAGCCTCCCCAGCTGCTGGGATTATAGGCTTGCGCCATTGCGCCAGGCTTTTTAAAACTTTTTATTCTGAAGTAATTTCAAAATCAGAGTTGAAAGTAGAATAAAATAATCCCATATATCCTTTCTAGATTCACCATTTGTCAATAGTAATATTGGGACTACACTAATAGATTTGTCATGTTTAAAGGCAGTATTGGTAACCAGCAAGGCTTGGGGCCAGGTGAGAGGTTTGGGGCAGGAGTCCCATCTATTCTCTGCACGTGAAGCTGTGGTTTCTCAAATGTTTTCTTCTTCTTCCTCCAGAAAACCCTGAGCGAGCAGCTCTGTACTTTGTCTCTGGCGTGTGCATCGGGCTGGTCCTGACCCTGGCTGCCTTGGTGATGAGGATCTCTTGCCATACAGACTGCCAGCGGCGCCCCAAGAGGAAGTTCCTGCAAGACCGAGAGAGCAGCAGTGACAGCAGCGACAGCGAGGATGGCAGCTCGGACACCGCCTCTGACCTCTCGGTGCGGAGACACCGCCGCTTTGAGAGGACTTTGAACAAGAACGTGTTCACCTCTGCGGAGGAGCTGGAGCGTGCCCAGAGGCTGGAGGAACGCGAGCGCATCATCAGGGAGATTTGGATGAACGGCCAGCCCGAGGTGCCCGGCACCCGGAGCCTGAACCGCTACTACTAGGGGGAGCAGCCGGGACCCCCAAAACCTCTTGAAGCCACCTGGAAGGGAGGGGGTCTACAGGAATGGTGGTGGGCACAGGGAACTGAACCCAGCTCTGCTAACCATTGGCAGCAGAGAAAAGCCCGGATGTGCCTGCCCATTTTTCTAGCCAGGAGGACTGGTTTCTCCATTTGACTCTTTATCTATGGAGAACCAGAAGAATCAAGTTGGCTCATCCATTTCCAGGTCTTGGAATGGTGCTGAAACACCCTCTCCAACAATGTGGATGGAGATTTGAGAAACAGGACTATGGTTTCTCTTGATTTCTGAGGATCTCAGAAGTTTCTACAGACTTGATTGCTATGTTATTCCTTTACAAAAGGAAAGATTCTGATAGCAAGAGAGCTGGAGATATCAGGGTGCATATAACCCCCAAAAATGCAGTTTTCTAAGTGACTCCATGCTGTGGAGCTGATTCTGATTCAGAGAGCATGATCCATGCTTATTATTTAAGGCTGAATTTTTAAAATCTTGAGTTGCAATGGCAACCTCTATCCATTTTAACTGACACCTCAGGGATTAAAATCCTATTTTTTAGTATAGTTCCCACCTCATTCATGAAAATGAATAGAATTATTGTATTATGGGGGGGTGTGTCAGTGAACTAGCAAATGCCAACCTCAAAGGATGAAGGGTTTTTATTTTAAATAGTTTATAAAAATATATATTGACATGCATATTTGAAAATGCTGCATAAGGATTAAAGTTGTGTGACCTCCTCCCCCTTTGGAAAGAAGATTTAGCATGATTTTAAACATGTTGTTTTAAAAAATGTTTGGATTCCTATGAAAAGAATGGAAATGGGAGCTGAGGATGGAAGTCAAAGTTAGGATGGGATCAAAAAATAAATGTTACATAAAATCTTTTGATTCATGCCTGTCTCTGTGGTGACACTTAGCTTTAATGACAGCCTTCTATGTGGGTGGGTGTGGACTTTTGCAAGGCCCCACATGGATTAGAATGGAGAAATTGTCCCTGTGGGATTATGGACATTTCACTTTTTGTAGGCTATGTGTTGTGGTTGTATATTAGTGTTCTCTAAAGGAAAAGCACCAACAGGAGGTATGATTATAAAAACGGGATTCATTAGATTGGCTTACACAACCAGAAGCTGCATAGTGCACAGTGATCATCTGCAGGCTGGGGAGCTGGAGGTACCAGTAGCTATGCAGTTCAAGATGCTGAAGTCTCAGAACAAGAGGGATCAACAGGGCTACCCCAGTCTGAGACTTTCTGGAAATTTCATGGACAATCACTGGTAGAGTCTACTTTTGAAGAGTGAAGAAGCGAGTCTGATCTCCTCAGGCAATCACAGCAGAAATCAAGAACCCACTGAAGAAGTAGCAAGCTTGCATCTGTTGCTGCTTCCTTGTTCTTCCAATTTTTATTCCATCCAAGCCTCCAACCTATTGGACAGTGCTGCCCACACTTAGGGAGGGTCTCCACTCCAGTTTGTTATCCCTCATGTCAATCATTCCTAGACACACCCTCATTGACACACCTGAAGCTTCTTAATCTTTGGCATCTCTTAATCCAGTCAAGTAGGTAATTCAAATTAACCATTATGGTTTGCAGTATAGTTGTTTATTATTAGAGGAACAGAAGACTTATCTAAGGTTGGAAATAAGGCTGTGGCTCCAGGTGGAGAGAGAAAGTTGATGGGGAAGGAAGAGGAAAGACTGTACCATATTTAGTAATGGGTCACAGAGAAGGAAGCAATATCTGGTAGACAGATGAACAGGATCCATGTCTGTCTGTAAGCTCCCTTCTCTTGCTGTGGAGTAGGTTCCTTGGTCAGCCTATCTGGATGCTCCAGAGCCTTGCTAACTGGGAGGATCTCTACTGCCCCTGTCAGCATGCCTAAGAGGATTGTCAGGAGACTTCCCCCAAGGGGTCTCTATTCCTTTAGCAATCCACTCTCAGTTATAGGGCTTGGAGGGCTGTCTTAATGACAGTCATAATCTTTGGTTGCCAAGAGGATGATACAGTTTGCTTCAAACCCTGGGGGACTCACCTGATAATAGCATTTTGGTTGGCCTTATTTTGTCCATTAACAGTGCCCAAAATCTTTAGTCAGTATCTCTGATCAGGATTCTCACCCTTCCATTTTTTTGTCTTTAGCAATAGTCACAGGAATCATCACCTTTTCTTGGGCTTTTGACTAACATCATTTATCTTGGTCTCTGCCTCTTAGGAAAGTAGAATAGTCAGGAGGTACTTTGATCTCCAGGATTAATCCAGTTGCAGGGAGGGATTATGACCTTTGCTAGGCAGGGGCTATAGTAGGGGCAAAGAACTTTGGGGCATTTGTCTTTTTCTATTATTCTGATATCTTTCTACCAAGTCTATGATGTTCTTATTTTTAGGGTGCTGAGGACATTTATCTAAGGCTCACAGTACACTAGGTAACAGTGTCACTGGCTGCTTCCCTTCCATATAACAAGGATACCAGCAACCTTCTCTATCTTGACTCACCCACTTTCACATTTTAGCTTTATCACTCCACTCCTGGTGCCAGTTTCTGTATAAGATTTGCAACCAAAAGATGCCCAACTTAAGAGCATATTCTTTTAACCTTGAACCACAAACTTGTTTCACAAAACTTGAAGAGCAGAATTGTATTTGGCTTTAGGGAGGACTGGGTCCAGGGGCTCAGATGCTATCAAAGGTTGCTCTTTTCAGCTCTCATCTTCTCTCTCCTACTGGTCTTATTTTCTTCTACTGCAAATGAAACTGTCCCACACTTGTACCAGTATAGTGCATTTTGAATTGTTTGCTACTCTCCAAGCTTCCACACAGCTCACAGGTTGCATGTATGAGTGTTTGGTACAATTTCACATTTTTTTTTTAATCTCAGAAGTCAGCAGAGACAGAGATAGTATGGAAAGGATGCTTTTGGTGCAATTTCTCTGCTTTTCCAAAATTCCACAGAGAAGCACTAGCTGACAAAAGTCTGAGAAAACTTTAGGAAGTGTAAGTTGTCTCAAGAGCTTAGGAAATTCTCTTAAGGTATGAGAAATGACCCCCACCCCACCCCCCAACTTCCCTGAGGACCCTCTTCCTGAACTGTGGTCTTTGTCAACTCATGGTGCATCAACTGAACCACTGCCATGTGGCAGGGGACACACTGTAGACACTTCCAGATTTATATCATCCCAATGCAAGAACACAAGAGGAAAGTAACACTTTTCTCCATGGTGTGGAATGTGAAATCACAGGGAAGGACTAGCATGTACAGTGTCCATCCATGGACCAGTCATGGTGGCCAAGAAGATAGGCCTGGCTAAGAAGAGTGGAGACAGGACACTGAGGATGCTCAGTAGCCACTACACCACTCTATCCTGACTTTTTTGCACTTCCTACTATCTCTTTTGATACTTACATTTAATTTTTCTTTATGTTCTGCATTCTCTTTCTCATCCCCTTCAATATGGGACTATCCTTTTAACCTTGAACCACTGATCTTCTTACTCCACACATCCTGAGGCATCCCATGTATTGCAGTGACTCTACAAACCACCTACATGCTGATGACTTGAAATTTGTCTTTTATTTTGTCAAAGTTTCAGGTTAATGGTCCACTGGCCTTCAACCCCAAGTGACAGTTTGTCTCACAGGAGATATTTGGTAATGTCAGGAAGGCATTCTGGTTTTCGCTCCAGGGTGGGTGGGATGCTAGGAGTTTAGTGGCTAGAGAAAGGGATGCTAGTAAACATTATGCAATGCAGAATTCAGCCTTCCAGTCATTTCCACCAATGTCCCAGAAATGAGTGATGAAATCTTCAGTCCCCAGCCATATCCTCTTCCCAATCAAAGCCCCAGAAGTTGAAGTCCTGTCCAAGGTCTCAGATCACAGAATCCATGAGCATAATAAATTGGTGGTGATTTTATGTCACTAAAGTTTTGAGGTGGTTTGTTGCACAATAAACTATGGGGAAACTCCTTAGTGTGGTTTAAACGCCCCTTACAAACTCATGCTGAAATCTAATTGTCATTGCAACAGTGTTGAGAAGTGGGAACTTGAAGAGGTCATGAAGGCTCTGTACCAATGAATGGGTTAATAACCTTATTCTGGTAGTATGTTCTTGATAAAATGAATGAGTCCAGCTCACATTTTCTTTCTTGCAAGTGGTCAACTTTCTGCCATGTTATGATGCGGCAAGAAGATGCTCACCAGATGCAGACTCTCAGTCTTGGACTTCCCATCCTTTAGAATCACAAGTCAAATAGACCTCTGTTTATACTTCACCAATAGCATGCTATTCTGATATAACAGCAGAAAATGAACTAAGATGATCCCTAAACCTCATTCACCTTGTCTGGGACCTACTAACTCTACCCACATTTCCTGTCAGTTAATGACGAAGCAAGTTACAGGACCAAGTCAGAAGGCTGAGACCATTCAAGGCACCTCCATTTCTCTGAGTCTTTATAGAAAACTAATGAGTAATGAGCAAACATTCCCAATCTTTAAGTCATGCATTGTGGTGACTAATCTTGGTTGTCAACTTGACTGAATTGAGAGATGCCTAGAAAATTGATAAAGCACAATTTCTCAGTGTGTCTGTGAGGGTGTTTCCAGAGATGATTGGCACATGGTTCAGCAAACTGAATGGGGAAGACCTCCTCTGAATGTGCTCTTAATGTGAGCCTGGAGAAAACAAAAAAATCAAACAAGGGGAAATCTTGTGCACACAACTGACTCTTCTTGAGCAGTGAGCTTTTGCTGCTGCCATCACCTGTGGACATCAGACTCCAGATTCTTCAGCCTTTGAATGAAGATTCACAGCAATAACTTTCCAGGGAGCTTATAGGGCTTCAGCCTCAGACTGGGGCTGTATCATTGGTTCTTTTCGTCCTGAGTTTCCAGCTTCTTGGATGGAGTAGCTACCAGTTTCCCTCCTCTCCAGCCTGAAGACAGCCATTGTGAGACTGTTCAGCCTCTGATACTATAAGCCAATCTAATAAATCCCCTCTTTTGTATATGCATATACATAAATATACATATATGTATATACACACACATATATACATACATGTATACATACACTTGTGTGTATGATTATTGGTTTTGTTCCTTTGGAGAACACTGATACATGCACATCTCTTGCATTTATCCTTACTACTCTTACCACACATTGTTGTGAAATTGTTTACCTGTGCCTCATGGTGGGAAATCTGTCTTATTCTTCTTGAGTCCCCAGAGTGATGCACAGAGCTTATCACATCATATACTTTAAAAAATCATTTACTGAATTGCAGCAAAAACTGTAATGTATTCTCCTAACCCTATTTCCTCAATCTCCAAAGCACATAGATGACTCCGTTTTCTATTTACCCCTGTGGTTAGTTGTGGCCATATGACAAAGTCTCGCCCAGTGGAGTGTAGCCCACCTGATTAACATTTGCCATTTCTATTGCTTGGCTTATAAAATCTTCCACAGGATCCTCAACCTTCTCTTTCTCTCTCTGCTTGCTGGAGGCAGAAAATCTGGCAAAGAATTCTGAGGCCCTAGAGAATAATGGAGCCAAAAAATACATTAAAATAGAGGGAGTCTGGGCTTCTGAGGGACAACACAGAAGGCCACTTGTGGACTAGGAACATCCACATTGTACATAATGTGAGGAGAAGTTGATGAGTAATCTTTGAATCTAGAACTGGTAGGGCTCTTGAAGTCAGTTTCCAACTCCTTATCTTTAAACAGATTTACTCCTAAGTCATTGCTCATGAGTAAAATTGAACCTAAAGCTTCAGAGGGAATTATACAGATCAGGATAACCCACAGGGATATGGTTAATACTTAGCCTGGTCCAGAGATGTCTTGGGAGGCTTCCTGATAGAGGAAACACAAGTCCTGAGTCTTAAGAA